TATTTAAAATAAAATAAAATAAAATAAAATAAAATAAAATAAAATAAAATAAAATAAAATAAAATAAAATAAAATAAAATAAAATAAAATAAAATAAAATAAAATAAAATAAAATAAAATAAAATAAAATAAAATAAAATAAAATAAAATAAAATAAAATAAAATAAAATAAAATAAAATAAAATAAAATAAAATAAAATAAAATATTCAAAAGTTTGGGGCTCAGTAAGATTTAAAAAAAAGATATTAATACTTTTAGTCACAAAAAATTTATTAAATTTATCAAAAGTGCCAGTAAAGGCACTTGATTTCTATTTCAAATAAATGTTGTTTCTTAAAATAAAGAAATAAATAAATAAAATAAAATAAGTTTGGTCAAGATTGGAGATTAGTTAGAGTATGGCATTTTTTAAAAATGATATTTATTTTTTTAACAGGTATGTTGAAATCAAAACACCACAGCAAATCCATCTCTCTCATGTTTAATCCAGATTCAGTCCACACCACTGATCCGTCTGTTATAAATGAGAACATGCTTACTGAACCGAAAACTCCACTTCACTCTGTATTTACCGCAGCGGTCAGAGCTCAATTAAACAAGCCGACCTGTTCATGAAGACATCATCACTGACCTGAGCAGTGTACAATGACTCAATGTCTGTGCTTTATGAAGCAGGAAAGCTTTGGAAGTGTTTACCTTCACACTCTCAAATTGATCTGACTTACATTGACCTTATCATCACCTGCAATCATTCTCAGCCCTGAGTGGTGATATGCCTCATGCCCGGCCCTGGTTTGTTTTCACAGACAAATCCCCGCACTTCTGACTTACCACTGCTGGTGTATGTGTGTGTGTGTGTGTGTGTGTGTGTGTGCGGTCATGCCTATCAGTAGAATTAGATGGTCCAATGGTGAAGGCTGTACTTCCTGTGATGGATGCGTTTCTATCACACCAAGAGTCTTAATTTCTGATCAGTCCTAACAGAGTTGAAACTGCAGGTCTTTATATTATGCTGAGAGAGCAGGTCAAGGCTGCCTGCTCATGCTGTGGCGTATATTACTGCACACTAAAGCTTTTTATTTTTTTTTTTTACTGTGCTCTGGCAACAGTATAGGACTTACTATTACTATTTTAGACTTTATGCTTTTAGTGGCGCAACAGTGATGCACAAAAGTATTTGGACATTTTAGCCACACAAAATGTATGAAATGTTATTTCACTGCATTATATAACAAGATCTCAAACCTAGTGGCTCCGTTTTTAAAACCTAGGTTTTATTTTTAAATTTTTTTAAATAAATGTTTTTATTTATTTTTAAT